GCTGTCTCAGTGGGAATGAGTGTTGGGGTGGCCTGGAAGGTGGCGTAGGTGGGCGGTGAGAGGCCTGGAGGCAGAAGTAGAGAGCGTATCTGCAGGGAGCCCAGCACTGCCCTGGGTGGGGCAGCCAGAAGGGAGTCCCCACCGTAGAAAGTGAGGGTTTTAACATCCTGGCCCCCACATGCCTCCTTCTTCCCCAGCCCCCTGGGACACTCACAGGGCAGCTTGCAGGGTGGAGGGGACATGCCACTGCGGCCCAAGGTGCCCCCCATCAGGACATGGCTCATCTCCTCTGTGGAGCAGGGGACCACCTCCACATAGCGTTCCTTCATTGCTTTCTTATGGCAACGCTGAGCAGCAGCTAGGGCCCGCTCTGCTGATGTCATCTGGATGAAGGCATCACCCGACGGCCGGCCCTGTGCACACCATCTTGTAAGCAGTCTGTCGTGTGCAAAAATGCCTTCCTCCCAATCACACACCCCTCTGTAACTAAGTGTGCTCCCCCACTGGACACAGCTTTACCTGCTGGTTGAGTACCATGTGCACACCGTGGGGCCGAATGTCAGCTGCTGCCTCCCCCAGAAAGCTTAGGATGTCTTCGATGGTGGCTGTGTAGGGCAGGCCTCGAAGGCGTACACAGTCTCTCCCGGTCCCAGCTGCCAGTGGGAAGGGGATAGGCAGCAGTGGAGCAGTCAGTGTGGGAAGGAGTGGGCTGGAGGCATAGCGGTTCAGGACCTAGTAAGGAAGGAAGCAGCAGGCTGGTTATGCCAAGTAGGGCAGGGCCAAGGAGGGCATGGAAGGGGCACCCTGGAGAAGCACAGGGGGGTAGGGGGAGCCCTGGGTGGCTCACCTGCTGCACCTCAGCTGCAGTGCTCCGGAAGAGTTCAATGTATCGCTTACCCAGCGTGCCCTTATGCCTGCGTAATGCAGCCTGTGCCAGCTCCTCACAAGCGAAGAGGGCAAAGGCATCACCAGTGGGCCGGCCGTCAGGGTGGCGCACAAAGAGCAGCCCATCGGCACCCCCAGTCACTGGGCACTCTGGCCCCAGGAAGCCTAGCACATCTGCTGGCCCAGCCGAGAAGGGCAGTCCCCGCAGCCGCAGGATCACTTGGTCTTCCCGTGACAGGAAACGAGCCACCTCTAGTGAAGTGCCTTGGTGGGGGGCGTGGGAGTCACCTACTGACTTCATTTGTGCCCTTCCAAATACCCACCCACACCTAGCACACATGGGAGCAGAAAGGCAAGGGGCGTCGGGGAAGCAGGACATGGATCAAGAACCAGGGGGATCTAGATGCTGTTGGGAGCACACTCACCCCCTGCGATCTTTACAAACTCCTCTCCTGTTGCTTTATATACCTGTGGGAACAGCCCATGAGTTTCATGCTTGCCCGGCCTCAGCTCTGCCCTGCTCCGCTCCCAAGCCCAGAGCCCCACCTCAATATAGCGGACACCCATGTGGTGCTTGTGTCTCTGCAGTGCTAGGTCCCGCTGCTCGCTGTCCACAAAACGGATGAGGGCCTCACCATTTCTGCGGCCCTGGGCGTTGAGGCACAGTGCTACACCACCCCTGTGGAGCCAGTGCTGCGTTAGTGCCTCCTGGGTAGGCCTGCCCTCCTGGGTCCACCCATGCTGCTGTACCCACCTGGCAATATTGAGCCCTGTGAAGAATCTAGCCACGTCCTGGTCTGATGACTGCCAGGGCAGCCCGCGAGCCCGAACCACAGTCTCGCTGTCCACCACGTCGGCCTTGCTGCTGTGGGGCGGGGCTCAGTCAGAGCTGTCCAGCTGGTGTCACCCCCAACCCTGCCCCCTAACTCACCAAGGCCCTGTCTCATATTTCTGCTTTACCACTTCGGGCTTCGAAAACAGTTGACCTGAGAGGAGATGGCATGGGGGTCAGCAGGGTCTGGTGGAGGGGGGTCTCCCCACCAAGCGCTGCAAAAAGAGGACAGTTGAGGGGGATGAGGAGGTAACAAAGGGGCTTTCACCTTGTGGTCTCTCAGAGGTGAAAAATGGGGAGGGGAACTTGGAGGAAGTAATAGGCAGGCAGTCACCCAAGCCCTGAGAACAGGTGAAAGGTGGTGAGAGGAACCTTACCGCTGGGTCCATCAAGCAGGTGGAGGATGACAGCTACCATTGTCTTCACTTCCCACACCCCAAAATCGTCCTCTGTGGCATCTGTCTCCAGCCCCAAGTCTATGAGCAGAGAACTCACAGTGAGGAAATCCCAGCATGAGAGGGCAACTAGCATGTCCCACCGAGGTTCAAGTCCCCTACATAGACACATGCAGAATCCTGGCAAACACATTTGTTTTGGCCCAGCTCATGGATCCCCTTAAAGATCCCCAGCCCAGACATATGTAGACATATGCCCGCATTCCAAATGTGCACAGGCACAGAGACATGCAGTCAGGGACTCAGCAGGTAATGTAAACTTGCATGTGTTCATTCAACCCACCAGCATGCACATACTCAGAGACATTCAGCCTACAGCCGCCCCTCCACCGTAATCCTGCTAGGTCACAGATACCCTGTGCCATGGTGGCCACGGTGAGGTCCCTGGCAGGGCGGGTGCTCGGGTGCTGCACGTGGAACTCTCTGCGGAGGTCGTAGAAGGAGAAGAAGGTGTCGGGGAGCGCCAGGTTCTGGGGGCACATGGGAATGGGGATGAATGGGGGAAACTGAGCTGCCCTGCCCACCCCCGTGACAAGAGGGGTCCTAGGAACCCTGCCCCCTGTTGTGCCCTCAGTGGTGGCATACCTTCCTGGAGGCCTCAGCGTGCAGGACCTGTCGCAGCAGCAGCTGCCCATCAGTGCAGAGCATGTAGGGGCCCCCGCCCAGCAAAGCCACATCCCCGCTCACCAGCTGTGAGAACTAGGAATAGGGAGCGGAGAGAGACAGAGGGACTCACAGCTAGGCGGGCAGGGGGAAGGAGGGCGCAGGCTTGCAAAGCTGGTTCAGCCAGATGTTCAGCCCTACCCTGCCTGGGGAGGAGGTGGCTATGCCTGTTGGGCCTGGCTCTGTGTCCTCCTTCTCCCCCAGTCCACTGTCACCTTCTCCAGGCCAAATGGGAGCAGTCACATATCACCCAAGCCCCCATCACACACACTCCAGGAGTCTGGAATGGGGCCAGAGCAAACACCTGGTGGAGTAGGACAAGCCAGGTGGGAAAGGGCGGGGCAAAGCAGGTTAAACCTGTCCCTGACCAGGCACCACCCTCAGGTGGGGGAGGCCCAGTCCTGCCTGAGGCCTGGCCTGCTCATTGTCAATGGTAGCCCCGCCCCTAGGTCTGACCAACTGAGGGGCAGAGAAACTCCAAGGGCAGAACTGACAGAGCTCCACACCTGGACGCCAGGGGCAGCATGAGCTTTGACCCAGATCTTATCGACCAGCTGGCACTGAGTTGTTTGCTCATAGAGGGGGCGGAAAGCTGCCTTGCCCCTCCCCCATCCTCTATCCCTGCTGGACAACTGGTACAAGCACAAACCACAGGCCCAAGAACCTCTTCTAACCCCAGCTTTACAATCTGTGCCTGTTTCCTCATCAGGAACCACCAGAGTTGTTGGACGATGAAAGAACTTGTGCTAGTAAAGCACTTTCACTCACTCCACTCAAGAGTCAGGCACAGGGTGAGCCCAGTAATGAAGATAAAAACAGCAAAGGGAACCGACTCCCACTTCAGCCAGGGCCGGGAGGCACCCCAGGCCTTTGCACTCAGGAGGCAGGTAGCCTCCAGGCGGGGTCCGGACAGCGCCCACGCCTGGCCAGCCGGCCGAGACAGGCCTGGACGAGCAGCTTACACCTGGCGGCGCCTGCCTCCTGGGCAGAAACCGCCCTACGCCCCTGCTCCAGCGTCTTCCTGGCGGATGGGTGGGCCGAGGACGCAGGCAGCAGGGACCGTGACCTATGGCCAAGTCTGGGCCCCTCGGCCCTTTCAGCTTCCGGCTGCTGTTCTGAGAGACCTGGCCGGGCAGGTCCCCAGAGGCGTCTCAGCCTAGCTGTCCCGCAGGCCGGGGACTCTGAGAGGGGTCTCGCAGCCTCCATCTCCACCCCCTCAGTAGGAGTGGACCACTGGAAAGTCTGAAAAGACGCCCCCCTAGGAATGGCCGGCACACGCGGACACACGCACACGCGGGAGTCGCTGAAAGTTTCAAACAACAGGAACCCGTCCTACCGCCCCGGCCAGTTGGTTGTGGTGCGCCAGGCCTCGCCTCCTGCCGCCTCTACCGCCGAGAAATGTCCCTGCAGCCCAGCCGGGCCTCCATTCACCCCGGCCCCAGCGCTCACCTGCTGCAGCACCTTGTCCAGCGGCTCGGCCCGCGCCAGGCTGTCGGCGCTCAGGCCGCTCGCCTCGCGGCACTGCGGGCTCAGCGCGGCCGCCTCGGCGCGTACCAGCGACTTATGCAATGTCCCCACCTGCGAGCGGCGGGAAAAACCGATCAGCCGCTGCGCCCCTCGGATCCTGAAGCTCCCTGGAGATCCCACCGCCCTCTTTCCACCCTACCTGGCGGCTCCGCGGCTCCACCACTTGCCAGACTAGGAGGATTAAGTCGGTCTCGTCGGAGCCCAGGTCCTGCCCCAGCGCACCCGCCGTGGCCCCGAACAGTACGACCAGGGGTCCAGGCCCGGGACGGGGGTCGGCAGCGGAGTCTGCGGCGGGGTTCGGGCCTGAGGGCGGTGGCTGGGGTGGCGGCGGAGTCATGGCCACAGAGGGAGAGTGTGCTCGACCAGACAGATACACGCGGACCGACGAAGCGCACACACTCACCGACCGACGGCAGACGCGTTTCGGCCTAGGCGGGACACCGTGCGTTATGGGCGGCACCTGCGGCCCGGCTGCCGCAGTGGGCGCTGTTGAGACCCGCCCAAGGCGCCCCGCGGGGCGGGGCGGCTACCGGCCCCCGCCCTCTCTGGGCGAGTTACCTGTCGGCCCCGCCGGCCACGTGACCGAGGGCGGCCCCCGGGAACCATGGGGGAGGGCCGCTAGACTCTAGCCCTACACGCGCACACTCACAAGGCCGGCCTGGGCTCGCACTCCCCCAGCGGGCCCTGCCTGACTTCTGGGGCGACCCCCTTCCCTCTCCGCTCCCCCACCGGGCCTCCGCCAAGGAAAGAGTAAAACCAGGGGCATTTTTTAGTCCGTAAGGGTCCTTTGGACTTGTGAAAATCACCAGGAGGCAGCCTGGAGGCTGTGGGGGTCACGACGGCCGGTCTGGAGGGGTAAAAGAAGTCACCCAAGGTCAAAGGGGCCGGTAAGAGTTACCAGGTATCACCCAAAGGCTTGTAGGGGAGGTCGCCAGAGGTCGACTGGTGTGGGGGGAGGGTGGCAGGAAGCACAAGAGATCATTAAATCCATTTGAGTATTCACCAGAGGTCAGTGGAAAGGGTTTGTGCACACAAGTGCGAAGGCTGGGCCTCAGCCTGGCTCCAGGAAGTGCCCGCGGTGCCAAAGAGCGGTGCCAAAGAGCGGTCGGAGGTGCGCAGGCCTCGGTGCTGGGGAAGGAAGAAGCGCGTCTCCCCCATCCCCGGCCCCAGCTCCTGAGAGCGGCTCCCCGGCGCTGAGCCGGATGGTCCCGCCAAGGAGCCTCACCCCTACCGCACGTGAGGCCTGCCGCCTCTTTTCGCCCTTCCCCCTTGACAACAGGCCTGTTGCCTGGAGATGTGAGCGTGCTGGCCGGTGGGGGCTAGAGGCAAAAGTGCAATGTGCCTAAGGGAGCCGCAAATTCTCCATCTCTTCTTCGGACAGCCCTTCGTGGAGGGCTCCCAGCACACTTTCGCCCTGTAGGGCTTGGTGAAGCTCCTTTACGGCGAGTTTCCAGGCCGCCCCGGATTTTCCCGAATTCTCCCGTTTATGTGACTGAGAAACTGAAGAAGAATCCGGCGGGAAGAAGGGGCTCCAGCCCGGCAGGAGCAGACACAGAGGGTTGCCAAGCCCGAGGCGGAACTGGGGCGGGAGCCGCACCTCACGCTTTCGGACAAGCTGGGCGCTACGTTCGGACCTTCAGACAACTGAGAGCGAAAGAGCCCGGCGTAAAGGAGGCGCCTCCGAGGCCTTGCCCACTAATTCAAATTGCACCGCGTCCCCATTTGGCGGATAAACAGACTGAGGGCGCCCGGGACACGGCGGCTGGAAGGGAGAGGTAAGTAGACTGGGTTTCCAGCGGTTTCGAGCGACCAGCCCTTCCCCTTGCGTTGTAGGCGAATGACCACGCTCCGCTGTCCGTGGTAAGACCGCCACCCTACTGCCAACCCGCTTGACCCCACCCCCGGAGGCGCTAAGCCAATCAGGCCCGGGGGGAGGAGGAAATGCGCTCTTCGGGTACCACCCTCCTCTAGATAAGCCTGGAATGTCAAATATTTGTTCGGTGGGCGGGGCGCAACTGCTAGTTAAGGCCCCTCCCCCACCCAGCCAGGAGCTCGCGTGCGCCAGGCTAAATCGGGCCTTCCTCCCGGCCACGCCCTTGCAGCTAATTGCACTTCACCCCAACAGCACCCCAGCCTCTCCTAAAACTTCCCTGGCGTGCATTGCCCCTTGTCAGGCTCCAGACTGGGCTCTGCTCCAAGACGACGGAGTCCCGGGCCATCCCGGCGCTACCTGATCTAAATCTCACCCTTCCTGGCCTCCCCATCCATTCAACCTTCAGACCTTCGCGCTGGGCCCTTCCATATTCTTCCTTCAGCGCGGGTCTCAAAGCCGGGTTCCCGGGAAGCCTCCCCCTCGAGGTGCTGTCCTGAGCGCATTCCCATTGGAGAGACATTCATGCGTGTACAGGTCCCTGCGGGGTAGTAACCCCAAGCGTGGGGCGGCTCCCCCAAAACTCCCGTGCACCTGTCCAACAGCCTCCACCTACATGACAATTCCCGATGTTTGGACTCTTGAAAAACTAAATTCGTTAAAACAACCTTAGGCCCCCTGCTTTGCTGAGCTCCCTTACTCATCTTCAGATGGGTCCTCCCAGATCACACCATTAATACTAAACAACCCGCACTCCTGTCCCCCAGCCGGCTCTCATGTCTCCTTTCTGCCAGCACTAAACCAGCTACTAACAAGATAAATCGTTTATTGTCTCCCTACCCCACCATCCACCCACCCGCGAGAATATCAGATCCTGGAGGAAAGGCTCAACCCCAGAGCCTATCACTGGGCCTGCCAGGCACATAGGCTCAAGAATGAATGAATGGTTGATTAAGCTCTCTTCCCGTATCCATGAAAAGTAACCTTCCCTGGGGCCACAGGGCCTTTCACTAGAGTCTCATCTGTGCCCTTTCCTCCCCTCCCAACACACCCTTGCCCTAGTTAACCTCTGCCCTCCCTCCAAATTTTCCTCTCTCAAGGCACATCCCTCCTTAGCAGGGGTCCCCACTGTAGTTTGAGATTTCTGTATTTCACTGATAAATGTCCCCCAGCCCCACACTGCTACTAGCTAGTGTTCACGAATCACGAATGAATGAATCGGAGATACGGTACGCGGGAGGAATCAGCGAGGCTCCAACGGCAAACCGTACTCTGGGTACCTGGGAAAAAGGAACTTGGTCCATCGAGCCTGCCCGCAAGCTAGCGGAATCCCATCCTCACTTCAGCCCTTGGAAGCCTGCCACTAAGGCAGCCGGCGCTCCAGCCGCAGGTACGTGAAAGTCTGGGCAGATACAGGGTGGGGTTCCTCACCAGGGGAGTGTGGCTCTTCTCGTGGACTTCCAGGGCGTGTAGGAATGGTGTAAAACCCCCTTCTCGCTCCCTCCTGGGAAATATTCCGCTGTCGAAGAGGATTCGACACTGGGTGCTTGCTTGGCGATCCACACTCGTGGCGATCCACACTCGCCGGCCCAGGCCCATTCCCACCCTCGCGGTCAGCGGCCCCCAGCTGGGCCAGCTGCGACCCTTCCTTACCTCCCAGGCCTCCAGAGTAGCAAGCGCACTAGGTTCCCCTGGGGTTCGCATCTCCACGCCTTTGCCGCCGAATAGCCTTTGAGTACCCACCAGAGGGCGCACTGACTCTGTAGACGGAGCCAGGTGTTGCGGGGCAGGGAGGAGGAGCTGGCACTGGAAGGATCGACCGGAGGACGCCCCAGGTGAAAGGGGAAGCCCTTGACATCGCCCCCCAGGCCACTTACCTCCCGCTTGAGAGTCTTCGAGGCTCCTGGCTCTCTGGACATAGGCCAGGATTTTAAGCTTGGTCTTCAGGGCCCTCAAACTGCTCTGTTCCACTTTCACCCACCACTGTGCTCTACACTGCTGTGATTCTTCTGGTCTACAGACTGCTGCACATGCTAAGCTCCCTGCCTGGAGCACCCACCTACCTCATCATCCCTTTGTTTTCCTGGCACACTCCTACTTATCCATCAAGACCCATCTCTAATAATTCTTCTTCCAGGCAGCCTTCCTTTATGCCTAGACCAGGTTAGAGGCCCTGTTCTGGTCCCCTTGCCCCAGAGTTCTGTCATTATTGGGTCAGTGTTGGCCTCTCATGACTCTAGGGAGGCTCTGGCAGCAGAGGAATAGGAGGCTGCTGAGCTGTGAGCTTTAGGGAGAATCATTTGCCTCCAAGTAGACTTAGCTGTGGCTACCACACCAGCTTAGAAGCCCTGGTGTTGATTGGGTTGCCCCAAGCCCAGCCACCCACCTGGTTCAGGTAGGGAAGCTTGGAGCTGGGGCGAGGGAGGGGTGGTTGCAGAGGGCCCAGTTACAGAGGAGGGCAGAGGCTGCTGGCTGGATTCTCACCTGAGGAAGATACCACAACTGGCTTGGCTCCTCAGTCCCACCTCTAGCCTTTGCTCAGAATGTTCTGCTCCACAGAACACTCTCCGTCTTTCCCAGAATTCACATCCAGCCTGTGGACCTCTCAGTCCCTTATCTTCTTCTCTAGGTCTGACAGGTACCAGGACCCTATCTTGGAAAGGGAGAAGGTTATAGAGAAGGGGGTTCATCACTCATTGATTCAACATATATTAAGCACCTGCTGTGTGCCAGGGATTGTGCAGGTGGTAACCGAGGAGGACAATTGAGGGGCTTGCTCTTCCAGCAGTTATATTCTAATGGGAGCTAGGCAGGAGCTGCTTCAAAGCCAGTGATCATGTCTGGGCTGAGACCTAAATCAGTTGGGTCCCCAAAAGTGGGGTCTGCAAAGTGGTCCCAGTGCAACAAGTGCAGAAGTCCTGAGGGAGAATGAGGATATCCTGTTCTAGGCAGCAAGGAAGCCATTGAGGCTGGAGATGAGAGAGTTGGGGAAGAGGGAGAGTAGAAGTTGGGGGAAACCAGAATACCCGCCAGGGTCCTCACTCACTGTGAGTGAGATGCATATGATGCATGCAATGAGAGGGTCATAAATGGGGTTAGGTGGACAGTGATGGGGCCTGATTTAATGTTTAATGCCACAGGAATAAGGGCATAAATTAGGACATCAGTAAGGAGGCTAGTATGGAGATGAGGGTAATGTGGCTTTGGGATGGTAGAGCTGGCAAAACTTGGTGACCACCTAGTTGTGTGTCTGAGACTCAAGGAGGTATCTTTAGTCCAGGATGACCTGGGGTCTGCAGCCCAGGGGATCATGTGAATGATGGGGTCATGGTGAAAATGAGGGAGCCTCACCCTCTGACCCCTCTCCATAGTGCCAGCACTGGTTATTACTGACCAGACCTTGGCACCCCCTGCCCCAATGGCCATGGTCCTATCATCTTCAGGGCCTATGGGAGTGGGGCAACAGGGAACTGCTCCCAAGAACAGGGCCACCCTTTGAGAAGCCCATGGGAATCTGAGGCTGCAAGGCTGACAAGACATTCAGACTGTGGCCAGAGTCCAAAGCAGCCCAGGCTGTCCTGATCCGTACCCTACCCCCACTTAACCCGTGGCTCTGGACTCCTGCCTGTCCTTGCCCTGGCAGAAGGGTCTCTATTGTCTCCCATACTGGGCCTGCACCAGATTGGTCCTCAGCAGCCCCTCTGCTGGGGCCTGGGATGGAGGTGAGGGAGGCAGGGGTTTTGAAAGGGGGTCACTGGGCCAGGGTCTGAGGTGGGAGATAGTTGGACCTTAAGGGAGGAGGGTATTCCAACCACGAATGTGTTTCACTAAAAGAATATAGGAGGGGCAGGCCAAGGTGGTGAGTAGATTCATTGAGAGTCACTGCAGAGATGCTGGAAACGGTCAGCCGTTGACCAAGAGGAAGAAAGGAAGGAAGAGAGGGAGGGAAGGAGGGAGGAAGGAAGAGAAGGAGGGAGGGAGGAAGGAAGGGGCAGGATAGAGGTCTTGGGACCAGCCAGGGATGACCAGGGTATTGACTGGCTCTCAGGACGGGGTGTGTGAAGGATCAAGACCTCCAGTCTCCAAACATGCTGGTCACCCTATTCCAGAGTGACACATGGTACCAGAATATTACTGGTTGTCAAATCTTTGCCCACTCTATCCGCCCCCGATTCCATGCACAGAGAGGATCCTCTCTGGATCCCCGGTTTGCGTGGGGTGGGAGTGGTAGAGGGACATGAGGTCCCAACACCCCTTCCGGTCTTCAGGGGAACTAACCGATAGGCTGGCACAGGATGGAGGCTCAAGCCCTCTCTTAACCCGGCGAGCAAACTGTTTAGTCGGCGGGTGTGTGTGTGTGTGCGCGCGCGCGTGCACGGGGCAGTGGGTGATACTACACTCCAGACCCTGAAACAGGCGGACTGAACTCTCACTGGGAAGCGAAACACGCTGACCTGGCCCCTTCCCGGGCAGACAGCAGGTGGACCCTGGGCCAGTGTAGCTTGAACCCAGATGCCCTCGGGGCAGGGTGCAAAGAACCGACTTGGGAGTTGCCCAAAGGTCCTGATCAGTCTCCTTATGCTCAAGAACAGCCTGGGATTCACTTCTCCCCTTCTTCCTCTTGCTTTGACCCGGGTAGTTCAGTAGCGGCGAGCATTGGACCCTGAATTCCCATTCAGCCCGGCGCATTCTAGATCCCTCGTCAAGGAGGCGCCAGGAATCGGGGATGAGGGCTGCGCTGCGTGGACTCAGGGTACCGAGGGCTGGGCTGGGTACCCAGCAGACGCGAGCTGGGTCTGATCAGCTGAGAGCGTGCGCGAAAGCCAGGCTGAGCCTCGGTACATCGATGCGCTCGGCGTGCAGCGCGGTTAAGGGAGTTGGCCAGGGATGAGTAGGGGCTGGGCGGCGAACTCCGACTGGGAAGGAGAGTTCCTATTGGCAGGCCGTTTGCAGAAGGCGGGTCCTGATTGGTCCGGCCTCTGTGAAGGCTGCGAGCGGCGGGGTTAAGCGCGTCGCCGCTGCCAGGGCCTAGGCGCGAGACCCCAGAGCTGAATCCGCGCCTCGGACCTGGAGCTGTGGTCACTGCCATGGGCCTCCGCCTCTGCCCTTACCGCGCCGCCCTGCTCCCGAGTGGCCTCCTGTTACTCCTTATGCTCACAGATCTGGCACTCTCGGCTGGACGTCCGCCACCGGTGGTGCTGGGTGAGGCGCGCGTCCAGTCGTGGGTCCGTTCGCTCGTGCGTCCGGCTGGATGGGGTGCGGGCGGGGCTGTCTACATCTGCTCTAAGCACGGGATGAGGGAGCGTATGATTGTTTTGTCATCTGGGTCGGCCCGTCCACTTCCTGCTATACTGGGCGCGGTTGTGGTCAAACTCTTGTCACCTTACCCTATAGAATATGGGGGTAAGTGGGAGGGTTACCACCCGTTTGCGCATCGGTACGCCTGTTCATCTCATTCCCAATCCTCGCCTCATCCCCATTTTTTAGCTGGAAAGACCGAGGCTCTTTGGCCCCACTCCTGAGGGCCGGTAGGAGGTAGGGTGGCTTCGGAGTTGGACCCCAGGGGCCTCGGCGTTGACTTGGGCTTGGCTTGGACGCTGTCTCCCTCCACCCTTCCAGCCCGACACGTTTCAGAGGGCATTACTGAAAGGGAGCTCTTTGGGGAAGGATTGCTCTCCTAACCTGCCACCAGGGCTCTCCCCTAACTTACCAAATATGTGGCATTGGGCCTGAGGAAGGAGGCCCAAGGGAATCTGAGGATGGCTATAGACAGAGGGAGGGGTTGAGACAATGGCTATGAACAGATGTCATACTGTACCCTTACTCCTGCCAGACCTACTTGGACTACGCTATGTTGGGGCTAGGCAACCTCCCCTGCCTACCTCCTCCTTGCTGCTGGCCCAGGCAACTGTCCAGGAGCCAGTAGTATTTCCTTGTGGTGGGTGTGGCAGGGATGAGACCTCTCTGTCTTGGGGTCTTTGGGTGCCTCATTCAGGCCATCACTCCCACGAAGAGCTAGTGTGTTCGTGGCCATCCAGGGCTCCTAAAAGCAGAGGCATGCCGAGGTATACGTTACATACTGAGTCTGCTGCAGCATGACCCCCATGCTCTTTCTGCTGGGAGTATTTTAATGGGGATGATGCAGATCACAGAAGGGTAGGGTTAGCAGGCAGTGTGATCCCAGGGGTCCTCCACCAGGAGCTCTGGGCCAGGAAATGCTCCCAGGGAATGCTGGGCCCAGGTTCACCATGGAGTTTGGGCAGATTTGGCCTTGCCTTCCCTAAGCTTGCAGGATGATTCCCAGAGGTGAGGTCTGTGCTGGGCAGGCATAGAGAATCCACTGACCCAGTCAGGAAAGGTTTCCTGGAGTACGCAGCTGGAGCTGAGTCCAGGAGAGAGTTCCAGGCAGAGGGAACTACGTATCAGAGGGAGGGAGCTAAGCAGTCCAGGCTCTCTGGAATGGAGTGGGGGAAGGAGTAGATGGTGCAGGGCTCGTGACTGGTTGGGTCATCTGGACTTTGTCTTGGGGGCCTGCAGGGAGCCTTGTGTGGACCTAAGGAGTACTGAATATGAAGGGTGTGGCATTGGGAAGTGTGTGGTCTCTGACCGGACTGGTCCTAGGCCTTTTCACCTGTATTGGTGCTAAATGCACTCATTAATTCATTCAGTTCTTAGTTATCCTAGATCACAGCAGAGGAGCCTCGGGTTGTACCTAGAGGCACTGAGCAACTGGAATCGTAAGCTGCCCAGCTTCTCAGAGAATGAGGCTATTGGCATTAATCCTGGGAAACCCCATGGTGGACAGCAGACAAGCTGTTCCTGGACACAGCAGGGACCTAACCTTGGCCATCAGAGGATCAGCATCCAAGGGTGACCAGTCTCTGTGGGTGGGACTCAAATTGGTGGTAGAGGAAGCAGAGGCCAGAGAAGGGATACTGAAGGCCCTGGGTGGGGGAAGGGACTATAGCAAGCTATTTCCACCTCTCCCAGCCTCAGTTTCCTTATCTGTAAAGTAGGCATAATAAGGATATTCTTCCCAGTGTTACTTGAGGTGAAAGGCATGTGGATGGCTCTTATCTAGTTCTAGGCACAGAGGGACCCAGGAAGTGACCATTGGTATTTTTAGAGGCCACACAGCCTGGCCAGGCAAAGGGTATCCAGGCAAAGCAGATCAGATGACTTCCTCTTTCAGCTATTTCCTCTCTGGTGGAAACAGTGACCAAGGTTTCTTCACTGCCCTGTCTAGTCCACAAGCATCTCATCTAGAGGCTGTCATGCTGAGGACTCCCCACTTCTGCACCACATCATGAAGGGAGGTGAATGCAGGTGCCACACCTCCCTCCCATGGCTGCACTGAGGACACAGTGGGATGGTGCACAAGGAGAGCTTGTCCTCTGCAGGGCTGTGTTCACAGCTGGAGGCCAGCGAATGCCCCAGAGAGCCAAACACTGGATCCTAAATGGGGTTTGGAAGGTGTCAAGAGAATGGCATGCGGGAGGAGGTGAGGCCTGAAAAGTCACTGGGAGTCAATGGACTGTGAAGGGCCTTGAATGTTAGGCAGTGAAGCAAGGGGGGAGCAGGGGATGGGTTTGAGTGTCACAAGGGCCCCAGGCCTCTGTATAGACTGAATAAGTAGAGTGAAGTCATCCTTGGAGCCTGGTCACACCCACCCCCATTGGGCTGTAGCTGGAATGGTATGTTGCTTCAAGAGAGTCATTTCCAACACAGGTGTGCTAAGATGCTAGGGCCCTCCCGGTGAGGTGCACTCTGGAACCTTTAGAAGGGTTTAGCATCTGGGCTCTGGCCTTTAGCAAGCCCTGAGGACCTCAGTAGGCTGGCAGGTGCCTACTTCTCTCAACTGTTTCTGTTCATTGCCCCCCTCCAGAGCCTATCCTGGAGTGCCTTCTTTGGATTTATTTTTGGCTGATTAAGTGGCCCAGTGCTCTGTCCTGTTTCCCAATCCTTCTTTCAGAGTATACAAGACCCTGCCTATGAAGCCGAAACCACCGTCTGTACCCCGACACTGAATTAAATCTCGGAGACAGAGTTTTGGGTGAAGTAGAGAGGAATAGCTTTATTGCTTTGCCAGGCAAAGGGGGCCACAGCAGGCTAATGCCCTCAAAACTGTGTGTCCCAACTTGGAGAGGGTAGTGAGAAGTTTGATAGTAATGGTTCAAGAGGGTGTGATCAGCTCATGGACATTCTTCTGATCGGTTGGTGGTGAGGTGAGTGGGAGTCAACATCATCAACCTTCTGGTTCCAGCGTGTCTGGGGTCTGCAGCATACCGGTGGGGGTTTCAGTATCTGCAAAACAGCTCAAAGATACTGTTGTGTGTGTGTATCCCTTGATGGGGAACCAGGACCTTGCCCCAAGGCTGCACTATGGTTTCTCTATGACTGTTTCTCCTTTGTCTTGCATCCCCTCCCTTCCCTAATTAACAACTGCATGAATCTGCCAGTTGGAACTCAGGAAAGGTCATGGAGGCTGAATGAAGCCTATTTCCTGTAATCAGATAAATGGGGAACACAGAAAGGCTTTTGTGCCTAGGAGCCCCACAGATATCACCTACTCTGCAGCCTGGGATAGCCGTGGGTAGAAGGCCTTTGGGTTTCCAGCCTGCCAGGCCCAGGGTCTCATTCATGCTCTATGTCCCCCTTCAGTGCCCGGTGATTTGGGCAACCAGCTGGAGGCAAAGCTGGACAAGCCGACAGTCGTGCACTACCTCTGCTCCAAGAGGACAGACAGCTACTTCACACTCTGGCTGAACCTGGAACTGCTGCTGCCTGTCATCATTGACTGCTGGATTGACAATATCAGGTGGGGGCTGGGGCACAGGTGGGGCGCTGCTCGCTGACCCGGTCTAGAGACGCCTCCAGAGCCCATTTCTATCTCACCTGCGCCTCAAGAGATCTCAGGCTTAGCGTCACTGACCTCTCTCCCTTCCCATTTCCTCTGTCTGGTCCACGCCACCTTGGCACTCTCCCAGACAGAACTTTCTTCCCTTTCCTGCTGCTCCTGTCCCTACCCTCTCCAGTGCCTTAGGCCCTATTTGTGGTTTCTATGCTCCAGCCCCTATTCACAGCCTCGCCTTGGCCCCCACCCTTTCCCTTGCCTCTGACTTGGCCACACCTGCCCCCTCCAGCTGCTTGGGGATTCCTTTCCACTTGCTGTTCTTTCAGCCTGGAATCACCCTTTACACCCTTTGCCTGATAAACTCCCTCCCATTCACTCTTTAAAACTCAAGCCTGCTTTCTTTGTGAAGTCTCCCTGCCAATCCCCAGAGCTCTTTTTGTTTGTGTGTTAGTTTTTTATAAATTTATTTATTTAATTTTTGGCTGCGTTGCTCGCGTTGGGTCTTTGTTGCTGCGCATGAGCTTTCCCTAGTTGTGGCAAGCGGTGCGTGGGCTTCTCATTGCCTCCCCTTCCCCCTGGGCACATGCCTGCTCCTCTAACCTGCATTCCCTGCCTGCCAAACATTGTTTCCTAGGATATTTCTTCCATAATAAGATAATCATGTAATGAGACTTACTGCTTATTGAATGCAAACACTATACATTTTACATACTTTCTTTCATTGAGTCTTACAGCAATCTAGTGAAACAAGTGCTGTTTTTAGACCTGTTTTACAGATGAGGAAATCTGGAAGCTCAAAGAGGTTACAAAATTGCTTAGGGTCACTCAGCTAATAAGTGACAAACTAGAATTTGAACCCATAGTTGTGTGCCTCTGAACTAAGGTTCCCGCCCACCCTGAGCTCCCTGAAGGCAGGGCCTGTGTCTCTTTTATCTTTAAAGCTGTAGGACCAGAAACACAATTGGTTTTCAATAAATATTTGAGCTGAATGGAGTCTTTCAAATTAAGATTGTTTTTTCCCCTGGAGACACACTAGCTGGTTCTAGCTGGTTCTCTGGGCACCCTGCCTTTCCCTGTTGTTTATGACCCCTGCTTTGTTGACTTTTTCCTCCTCCTTGTGTGATCAGGGTTATTTCTGGGATGTTGATCTGCATTTCTATTTTTGTTGCAGAAGCATGGTCTCAGGTATTGCCAGTTGGAGGTACAGGCTGATACTGAGAGGGGCTTATCTACTTTTGTTGGGCTCTGACCTGTTTAGACTTGCATCCAGCACAGAGTACTTCGGCTTTCTAGAACTTTGCTGAGTGGCCATTGGGATGATCTACAGATTGCCCTGGAGAGAGTGGGTCCCCAGGACTTTTATTTGGGCCAGTGTTGGGTATCTTGTCAGCTTTCTGTGGCTGATCTTTAAGGGTGGGTGGGACTCAGGACCACTGGGGACTGCAGGTCTAGCCTGTGTTTTCTCAGGCACATTTGCCTCCATAGTATCAAGGGAGGCCAGAGCAGGGTTCCTGGCCTGGCACAAGGCTTTCCTCCTGTCTTCCACCACCCTGTCCCCATCATGTCTCCAGGCCTTGCCCACCCACTCACGCAGCAGCCACAGGTGCTCGGGGTTTCTCTGTCTGGTTCTGTTGTGTGTTGCATTCATCATCTCCTTTGCCCTGTGTTGTGTTATGGTGGGTGGCAGGAGCTGGATCCATGGAGATGGAGCAGTGGGAGCCTGCGAAGTTAGGCTGCCTGCCTTTTGGGGTCAAGTGTGATGTTCATGGCGGAGCCAGGCCTGGCAGCCAGATCCCTCTCTAACCATATCTAAGACCTGCATTAGACAGTATGGGTGACATTGAGGAGAAGGGAATATTGCCTCACAGGGGTCCTGAAGTCAGTCTCTGGAGTGAGCCTTGGTGGGGTCCTCATTTGGATGTGGTTACTCTGATCTGTGCTTTACAAATTTGCTTTGTTACTTTTTGGTCTCCCCTATACATCTGACCAGACCTGAGGATGGGAAGGGAATATGGCTCAGGACACAAGACAGTATTGGGACACACCAACTTAGGTGTCACCTCTGGGTCACTGGCTCAATATCCCCTCCTGGCAGGCTGGTCTACAACCGAACGTCCCGCACCACCCAGTTTCCTGATGGTGTGGATGTACGTGTCCCTGGCTTTGGGAAGACCTTCTCACTGGAGTTCCTGGACCCCAGCAAAAGCAGTGTGGGTGTGTAGCCCTTCCTCATGGCCCCCAGGGAATGGGGATGGAGGTTCTGATGGACTCCGAGAGTGGGAGGAGCCCTGTTGGTTTGAGTGGGGGTAGCCTGTGAACCATCTCTAATCAGTGTGGGCACAGAGCCCTATAGCACTCCTTCGGGGATCTCCCGGCTGTAGGTGTCACAGTCTCCTTGGCAGGCGTGGTGTGGGCAGCTGACAACGACTGTACTCTCTCTAATTCTATGGATTTATGTCTATAGGTTCCTATTTCCACACCATGGTGGAGAGCCTTGTGGGCTGGGGCTACACACGAGGTGAGGACGTCCGGGGGGCCCCCTATGACTGGCGCCGAGCTCCAAGTAAGTGGTTGCTCTCATTTCCTCCCTGAGGTCATGCGGGAGGGGGGTGGAGAGGAGGAGGTCACAGCCACCAAAGGCCCTGGGCCTTTCCCTTCTTCCGTGTCTCTGGCATCCAGCCCAGCCATCACAGGTCCTGTCCTTCCCCCACCCTCAGCCCAGGATTTCTGGGCCTCTGAGCCCTGGGGAGAGATAATGAGGCTGAGGAGGGGAAAAGGAGCTTCTTCTCCCTTCATGGAAATTGAGGGGAAACCAGACCCTCCCCACTTGGATTTTCACACGCTCCCCACCCACCTAGTCCTGGGTCTGGCCTGAGACACAGTCAGTGGTTCAGGCCCAAGGACCCTTCCTGCCTGACCCCTGCCTGGCTCTGGCCTGCAGATGAAAACGGGCCCTACTTCCTGGCCCTCCGCGAGATGATCGAGGAGATGCACCAGCTGTATGGGGGCCCCGTGGTGCTGGCTGCCCACAGTATGGGCAACATGTACACGCTCTACTTTCTGCAGCAGCAGCCACAGGCCTGGAAGGACAAGTATATCCATGCCTTTGTGGCACTGGGTCCGCCCTGGGGGGGCGTGGCCAAGACCCTGCGCGTCCTGGCCTCAGGTAAGACCCTGCCTGGCCCAGCATGGGGGGTGCTGGTATCAGATGGCACACTCTCTTTCCCTCTACAGTGGCCTCCTGGGCCACCCTCACGTCTCTTCTCTTGGGTCAGGACCCTTCCTTATCCAGAGTTGTATTCTTTTCCAAACATCTCTTTCCAAAAGAGAATATAACACTACTTCTAAATTCACCTCTCCAGCTGATGACTCTTGTTATCTGTGTAGGTTTCTTACAACATGTACACGGAGTGGCATAACCGTTGGTCATAGGGCACACGTGTACACACACACACACACACACACACACACACACAGCTTGGTCCTGGCTGGCCTTACTTGGTTTGATCCAAAGTTCTCTGGAGGAGCCTTCTCCCTCTCTCTTACCCCCATCCTCACTTCTTCATCCCCACCTTCACCCCAGAGAAGGAAGGCTGGGCTACAGTTTCCTGTTTGTGAGTTACACCTCCCTCTGTGGCAGCGGGGAGCCTCTGTGGGCCACACAGAGAGGAAGCAGGTGCAGGTTTGTCTGGGCCTGCTTGCTTGGCAGTTGGGAAAACCACCTCCTTCCCTGTTCCTCCCCAATCCACCTGCCTTTTCAGGACTGTTAGAACATACCAGCTGTAGCCCCAGGGCTTTCCTCCCTCTGCTAGGACTGGATGTGAGCCAGGGCTGTACCAAGCATCTGATGAGCTTTCTTCCTCAAGTGACTGCCACTGCCTGACCTGCTTATCGGTCACCTGATCGTTGTGATCAGTCCTCTCCCAGTCGTCACCCTGGATTAGCTGGACAGTGAATCCAATTATAGTGAGGACTCATCACAGCTACCTACTCTGTCCAGCCTGGACCTGAAAGGAGAGATGTGGGCCCTTCTGAGTTTGAGACAGGTTACCATGGTGGAGTTCAGGTACTGGCCCTTTCAGAGCTTCCCCATGAGTCCCCTTAGAGCGGTGGTCCCCAACCTTTTTGGCACCAGGGAATGGTTTCGTGGAAGACAATTTTTCCACGGAGGGGGCGGTGGGCTTGGGAGGGGTGATGGTTCAGGTGGTAATGCGAGTGATGGGGAGCGGTAGGTAAATCGTCACTCTCTAGCCCACTGCTCACCTCCTGCTGTGCAGCCCAGTTCCTAACAGGCCGCAGACTGGTAATGGTCCGCGGCCCGGGGGTTGGGGACCCCTGCCTTAGTTAGAGCTTTGCCTCAGATTCTAGGAGACTGCGGTCAGGCTCTGGCAATCTGGGAGTGGGGGTGGGACAGGACGGGTGGTAGTCGTGGACCCTTAGCTAGGGGTTCCCTTTCCTGAGGGCTCCTAGAGCCAGGCCCCAGCAGGCAGAGCTGAAGGCCTGCAGTCAGTGGTGGGGTGATGGGTGGCTGTGGGTCCTGAGCAGGGCAGAGGCCCCTGTTCCCAAGTTCCAGCTCATCCTCTGGCGATCTCACTGGCTGGTGGATGCGTTTGTGCTGTTGGCATTCCTATGTAAGAAAGACTGTCACTTTGTCAGCAGCCTCCTCTCCTGCCCTGTCTCCTGCAGGCCTGGATGCCCAGGTCAGTGCCAGGCAGGTGGGTGGGATGAGACCAGGGCTGGCTGGATGTAGGTCTGAGCCTAGGAAGGGGAAAAATGTTTACATAGCTCAATGTAATGAAAGATTAAGAGGACTGTGACTGTGTCTTTGGGCTGCCCACCTGCTGATTCACCTGTGACAAGGTCAGTACCCACAGGCTGGGTGATAAGTGCTCTGGGGAAGGTATTGTTTTTACCATGAATCACCCTGTGGGTGTGAGCTGCCTAAATCCCTGGTGACAAAATGCAAAAGGAAAGAAACAAATCTTGGTCATGTGCTTCCTAGATAGAGCAAAAATACAGGGAAATGGAGTTGTCACCGCGTTAACAGCATAGAGATGCCAGAGTGTTGGCCAGGCCCGGGCTGGGGGCTGGCAGGGGCCCTGGCGGTGAGCATGCTGCCCAGCTGGCTTGCATTCCCGAGCACAGACTGACTGGAGTCCTCTATCCGCAGGAGACAACAACCGGATCCCGGTCATTGGGCCTCTGAAGATCCGGGAGCAGCAGCGGTCTGCTGTCTCCACCAGCTGGCTGCTGCCCTACAACTATACCTGGTCACCCAAAAAGGTCTTCGTGCACACACCCACAGCCAACTACACGCTGCAGGACTATCGCCGCTTCTTCCAGGACATCGGCTTCGAAGAAGGCTGGCTTATGCGGCAGGACACGGAGGGGCTGGTTGAAGCCATGGTGCCACCTGGCGTGCGACTACACTGCCTCTACGGCACTGGTGTCCCTACGCCAGACTCCTTCTACTATGAAAGCTTCCCGGACCGTGACCCGAAAATCTGCTTTGGTGATGGTGACGGCACTGTGAACTTGCAGAGCGCCCTGCAGTGCCAGGCCTGGTGTGGCCGCCAGGAGCAAGAAGTGTCATTGCAGGCACTGCCGGGCACTGAGCACATCGCGATGCTGGCCAACGCCACTACCCTGGCCTATCTGAAACGCGTGCTCCTCGGGCCCTGATTCCTATGCTGGGCAGGGCTCTGGGATGGGCTGGCCACCACTGCTTCTCCTGGCCTGTGGGGCAACCATGGCCCATGAGTTGAGCAGTTTGTGACTGATCATCTAAGGCCCTGGATCTTGGGTTGTGAAGTGGGGAAATGCTGGGTTTTTTATCCTTCCTCTCTGGGAATGAGGAAGGAAGACATAGTCTGAAGTTACTTGAGGGACCCTTGGAAAGAATGCTGCTGATGGTGGAATTGTGACCTCAGGACTGGCTCCGCAGGTGGATTGGCTGGCACCTGGCCCCAATCCCCAGTGCTAGGGCCTTGTGTTCCTCCTACCCCTGTGGCCTTTTCACACTCGCCCACCAGGGCCTGGCTCCTCAGCTTTCTTGTGAGGGATGTTACTGAACTGTGGTCCCTAGGTTGGGCTCCCGGTCCCTAGGGTGTACCTTCTCACACATTGGCCACAAGTCAGCCTGCTACTGGCCACGGGTGGCTGGAGCTGCTGTCTTCGTGTGGCCTAGCTGCTCACACAGCCTGACTGTGGCTTTCTGGGGGCAGCCCGGTTCCCCCCTGCAGGCAGGGGTGGGTTGTTATGTTCTCCATGGTTCCCAGGCCCTGGGGCATTCACTCCTACCTCCCTTACTTCTAAGAACAGCCTAGCTCAGGGCTGGGCAGCAGATGGACCCCCAGTTCTCGGGGCTGTGTCCCAGGAGCCCTGATCTCCTTGGTTGGGCTGTTGCCCACAGTATTGATGCTGCCTCCCTTTGCCCTGGGGCTGTGGTTCAAGAATGAGAGCAGAGCCTGATGCCATGCCCTTTAGGTACTCATGAGGAAAGAGGACTCAAGGAAGCAGCCAAGGCCAATCAGAGCCACCCTGAGCTGCCCTCTTGCTGACCCTCCACCACATTGCCACCCTGCCCAGGATCTCTCTAGCATTCACGTGGGCTGGCACAGGACTGAGAGGAGGTAGGACTCTTGCCCACTCTGCCCAGCACCCATCCCCACCAGGCAGCTCAGTGGTGTTTAGTCAGCAGGGACTTGCCCAGAAACTTGAGTGGGCCCCTGAGAGAGCCAGGTGCCTTAGGGGCCCCCTAGGGGTTTTCTTCCTGCTCCAGAGGTGCTGCATGGATCTCCCTGTGATAGCAGAGATGGAGGATGAGGATCTGCCTTGGTGGTCTCTAAGTGGGCAGTGCCTAAAGGCCAAGACTTGGGTCTAGCCTCTGGGGTGGAGCCCCAAAGCCACAGTCAGGCTGGACTGTGCTTCGCTCCTACAAGGTTTCTGTGAAGCAGAATTTTCTCTGTTGCATTCATAGCCAGCATCTGTCTCTCCCTTTGTTCCTGAGTGGTGGCCCCCACATGGGGCTCTGAGCAGGCTGTACCTCGATTCTGGCAATAAAAGTATTCTGGATGCTGTAAAGTGCCCTGGCCTAGCCTCTGCCCTGAGCATGAGAGGAAGGAGGCAGTGGAAGGGTGAGGGGGCTAGCGAGGCAGGTAACCAGAGGCTGGACCTTGACCTTGCTGGGGCCTTGATGGGTTCTCTCAGCACCAAAGCATGGCTCCTGTGCACCTCTTTGGGTTTTATCCTCCTTCCCCCTCTCCTGGGATCTAGTTCCCCTCCTAGGACTGAGAAGCAGGACCTGAAACATTCCTGTTGGAATGAAGCTCCTACCCACCACCCAACTCTGCCGCTCCTATGTGGTCAACAGGCCCCAAATGTCACCCCACAGCTGGGAGCCAAGGACAATCCTGACGGTCGTGCTGTCTGGACTGCTTCCCAGCCTTCTGTCCTCCCTCAGCTTGCAGGTCTCAGCATCCTTTGAATTTTTTTTAGGATGCTACCCTTCTACTTTGTTTCATCAGTTCATCTGCCCGCCATCTGTCCCTCTTTGGGAACAGAGTGAGACTGAGGAGGGAGGGAGAGAGACCAAGATGGGCAGAGATAGGGACTGAAAGACTGGGGACCAAATGGAGATGGATAAGGACAGAGGAACAAAGAGTGTGAGACAGGAAAACGTGTGTAAGGATGGAGACTAGGCCAGAAGTCTGTGGTGCAGAGCCCAGAGCTGGGGGCCAGTGGGGGTGGTGGAAGCCCCAGTTCCTGCCTCCTCCACAGAAGCCTGGCCAGCTGGGGTTTTAGGTGTCAATACACCGTGGGCCGCTAGAGGGTGCCCTGAATCTTCTCACTACACCAGTTATTGGCCAGACCTGGAAAAATGGGTGGCCCAGAGGGTTAGGATGCCTAGGAATACATAGGTCCAGCTGCATCGCTGGCCTTGGTAAAAAGGATGACAACGCGAAAGGGAGTAAACCCTTACCCCCAGATCCTGCCCAGCCTCTTAGTGCCCTGACACATACCCACTCATGGCCTTGCCGCCACCCTCTCACCCCTGATCTGTTTCAACCCCACTTCTACCCTCAGTTTCACAGCTCTACGTAGAGACAGGGTATGGAGTCAGAGCAGGCTTCAGGACCAGCAGACTGGAGTTCAAATCTGAGCTCTACCACTTCTAGCCAAGTAGCTTGGGGAGTCTCCTGACCTCCCGAAGCTTCGGTTTGCTCATCTTAAAAATGGGGATGGGGACTTCCCTGGTAGTGCAGTGGTTGAGAATCCGCCTGCCAATGCAGGGGACACCGGTTCGATCCCTGGTCCGGGAAAATCCCACATGCCGCGGAGCAACTAAGCCCGTGTGCCACAACTTTTGAGCCTGCGCTCTAGAGCCCACAAGCCACAACTACTGAGCCTGTGTGCCACAACTACTGAAGCCTGCATGCCTAGAACCACTAGAGAAGCCACTGCAATGAGAAGCCCACACACCGCAACGAAGCGTAGCCCCTGCTTGCTGCAACTAGAGAAAGCCCGCGCACAGCAACAGAGCCCCAACACAGCCAAAAAAAAAAAAGAAAAAGAAAAATGGGGATGAATAAGTGTACACTGTAGGGTGGTCCTGAGGATACACTGATGGTTTTGGAGAACATATGATTCAGTGCTTGGTTCATGGTGGCTGTCAGCTGGCAGGATGCTGTAACTGGGTGTGAGACAGTGAAGCCAGAGGTTCTGAGAGCTTGTAGGTCATGTATGCTGCTGATACAAGGACAAGTGGACTGGCTGTTACTGAGTGACACAAGTGTCCAGAGCCCTTCCTCTGCCAGGCCAGGGAGGCAGGAGGAACTGATCCAGGGGGCAAAGGGTCAGATTCTAATGACTCCAAATATACGCATGCAGACATACCTCAGAGATACTGTGAGTTCGGTTCCAGATCACCACAATAAAGTGAAGGTCGCAGTAAAGTGAGTCACATTAATTTTTTTTTGTTTTCTGGTACATCTAAAAGTTGTTCGCACTATAGTCTAGTGCAATAGCATTGTCTAAAAAAACAATGTACATGGGCTTCCCTGGTGGCACAGTGGTTGAGAGTCTGCCTGCCGATGCAGGGGACACGGGTTCGTGCCCTGGTCCGGGAAGATTCCACATGCCGCGAAGCGGCTGGGCCCGTGAGCCATGGCCGCTGAGCCTGCGCATCCGGAGCCTGTGCTCCGCAACTGGAGAGGCCACAACAGTGAGAGGCCCACGTACAGCAAAAAAACAAAACAAAACAATGTACATACCTTCATTAAAAAATACTTTAGTGGACTTCCCTGGTGGCACGGTGGTTAAGAATCTGCCTGCCAATGCAGGAGACAGGGGTTCGAGCCCTGGTCCGGGAAGATCCCACATGCCGCGGAGCAACTAAGCCCGTGCGCCACAACTACTGAGCCTGTGCTCTAGAGCCCATGTGCCACAACTGCTGAAGCCCGCGTGCCTAGAGCCCATGCTCCGCAACAAAAGAAGCCACCGCAATAAGCCCGCACAGCACAACGAAAAGTAGCCCCCGCTCGCCACAACTAGAGAAAGCCCGTGCACAGCAACGAAGACCCAACACAGCCAAAAATAAACAAAACAAAACAAAACTTTAGTGCAAAAAAATGCTAACCATCATCTGACAAAACAGCATTGCCACAAACCTTCTATTTATAAAAGATGCAACATCTGCAAATCACAGTAAGGCGCAGAGCAATAAGACATGTTATGCCTGTACTCTCATTCACACTTAGGGAAAGTATTCCAAGCAGAGAGCACAAGGAGGGCAGCACCAGTGAACGCTCTTCAAGGATCATCACCTCATGGAAGGGTTTTTAGGCAGAGGAGATACGAAGTCATTCCAATCTGTATTTTAGGAGCACCTCTTACCCTGTGGGGATGGGTTAGAGAGAGCAGGATAGGGATTGGGAGGCTACTATGGCTGGGGAGAAGAAAACCATGAGATGCAGGGCCTGGGGGAGCAGGAGGAGGAAGGGTTCAGGGTGCTGCCCATTTCCTGCTGGGTCACTACGTGGTGGGGAGCAGGGTTTTGTGTGTAGGCAGTCTGGAACCAGAGGATGTGTAGTTGTGAACACGTGTCTGGGGGGAAATGACTGCATAGCCCAGAAGAGAATCATGGCTTGAGGTGTGGACAGGAAGTTAAAGGGTAGGGCTCAGCTTTCCATGAGATCAGGAGGCCGTAGACGGAGCCCCAGAGCTACCAGAGGAAAAGGAGCCCTAGAAGGAGATGGAGGAGGAGCAACCACAGGGAGAGGAAGAGGACAGGAGGGTGCAGCTCCAAGAGGGGTCAGGCAGGATGAGGACTGAAAACTGTCCTCAAGCCTGGGCCCCAGGTAGGCCTGGGGTTGGCTCTGGAAGCTCAGCGGTGTCCATGTGTCTGCAGGGACCTTAAAGGATGCACGGTGGTCAGAGCTGTGACTCGGAGGACGAATCCTGGGTCTGTCTCCCTAGGGTCTCCAGGCGGAGGGTTGGCTGTGAACGGGGTATGGAGGCTGTTTAGAGCTCCTCGTGTGAGCTGTATGGGGTCCCCCGGGAGTGCGGCCCAGGCCAAGAGCCACAGAGGAACCGGGTGTGGGGGCACTTAGGGGTTCCCGCGGGAGCGTCCCCGTATTGAGTCCCTCGGATGCCCCGAGAGACTCCACGGTCGGGGAGCAGCCAATCAGTCGGCTAGTGGGGCTGGGCCCGGGTTGCGGCCCGCCGGGGGCTGGGACCTCACCTGCGGACCCCTGAGCGCGGCCGGCGGAATTCCAGAGGCCGCGGCGGCCCCCTGGGGCCCGGAAGCGCCGCCGCCCGCGAGCCCCGCGCGGAGCCAGGCGCCCTGTCCCGACGCAGCGCGCGCTGTCGCGATCCGGCGGCGGATGACGTGGCGGGGGCGGGGCCTGAGCGGTCGCGGCGGGGGCGGTGGCAGCGCAACCGAGCATCCCGGAGGCGCCGGGCCACCACGAGGTAACGGGCCGCGGGCGGGCGCGCCGAGGGAGCCGGGCCGTGGGAGCGGGGCCGGAGGAGCCGGGCCGAGGGAGCAGGGCCGCGGGAGCCGGGCTGGGGCCGCATTCTGCTGGGGCCGAACTCTCTGCGCCGCTGCTGCATGCGGGATGCGGTTCCCGTAACCCAGCACGGGGCAGGCGGGCCGCGGACACGTGAGAGACGCTGCGAGTGAGCCCGTGCCCGAGGGCTACGCCGTGCGTGTGAGCGGGACCTTGAGCGTGAGTGGGACTCCAGGAGTGTAAGACTGAGCGTGTGAGGAGGACGCCGTGTGTGTGTGTCTGTGTGTGTGAGTCAGTCAGAGGGTGACTCTGAGTGTGCGAGACGCAGTGTGAGGGTGACGCTGTTAGTGTGACGGAGACTCGGTGTGTGTGTGAGAGAGACCCTAGTGTGGAGGTGACTCCATGAGTGTGAGAGGGACTGAGAGAGGGAGATTGTGAGAGACTGAGTGTGAGAGAGACCGCGGTCAGAGTGGCCCTGAGTGCGACCCTGTGAACGTGAAAGAGACCGTGTGAGATACTCCAGTGTGAGTCTGGTGCTGAGAAAGAACCTGTGCTGCGTTGGAGAGACTCTGAAAATGAGTAAAGGCCCGGGGGACGAGCCTGAGGATGTGAGCACCTGAGCAGAGCTTCCTGGGGCCGCGGGGAGACTGGCCTATTGGAGGGAGGACGGTGTGTGCTCCTGCTTCTATGGCTCTTCTTAGTGTCTTTACATCCTGTCATCTTGTTTGATCATCTCATGTCGTAAATGGAAGGCGATATTTGTGAAACATTAAGAGAATTCTTCACAGAGCACTGAGTGATCAGTCTGGGCACCACTTGTGTTATAGCCAGTGATAAGCAGGAATCAATATTTAATTTAACATTTGTTTTTGAGTACCTCTTGTGTGCACTGGACTGTGTGCTTGGTAAAAAGAATTCAGTCTCTGCCCTTGATGGGGAAGAAAAAGCACTACCGGGCTAGCAGAATGCTCAGCCATCTGGTGCTTATCTCTGAGAGCTGCTCCCTGATTTTGAAGATCTGGGAGGAGCAGACTTTTGAAAGCCTGTGAGAGCTTCTTGAAATCATTTTCAACTCTCTGTTCTTGTTGGGAGGCCCTTGAGGAAACGGCCCAGGCTGCCTACATTGCTGAGGTCCCACTGCGTGCTAATGGCTTTTGCTTCCCAACTTTGGTCTCAGATTGTCATTAAAAGTTCTTATATTTGATTTTCCTTTCCTGACAAATTTGTGGGAAACCACAAACCTGATATTCTCCTGTCTGCCTCCTTCCCTGTCTGACTGTGGACATATTTTTATTACAAACCAAAAATAAATAGCAGTTATGTGACTGATCTCTCTGGCATTTCTTGGTACACAGGAAATTTCCTGACTTCTGTCCTTTGTCCTTCCTGCTATAGTCTCCAGAATGTGTGGATACATTACTACAAAAGTGATGCAAGTGGTGCTCATGGGACCTGGGACAGAGGGAACAGCAGTTGTCTAGACATGCATGACTTGAAAGGACCAGGCTGGTTCTCAGACACGTGTTCAGTTACACCCCACTGTGGGTGTGATGGAACTTCTAAGTAATTGAGTGCTACCCCTGCTGGGCATGTAAAAATTAGATTTTACAAAAGGAAATATCGTCCTGCTGCTTACTAGGTTCATTTTTTGATAAGTTGCCTCTCACTCTTTGTTGCAGAGATTAATTGGAGACACGTGGAGTTAGGCCTGGCTGTGGAGACTTCATTTTCTTCTTCGTACCTGACCATTTATGATGAGGTGGCTTATGAAAGTGTGATGTTTGCTTATTTCCTCACAGGTGGATATTATTGCTCTGTTCTTCGTTAATTTTCTTGGATCTTTGCGAGTTGTAAACCGTTTTAGTCAGTTATTTGAGTACAATGTTAGTAGAGAATGGCTCACACATAATTAACAGTTATGTAACACTATAATTATTATATAAATAAATTATATATTTATTATATCTCTTAATAAAGAGTAATTGTGGTGGTTTATATTTAAACATACTTGCAATGAGGAAGTAAAAATAGGAAACCAAAGCCATGGAAAAGACTAGATATCAAGTACTGTTGAAAAGTGAGGGTATCTGTTCACTGTGATTGGGAGCTGAATTTGATATTGAGTTTCCTGGTGTCCTAAGTGAAAAGACAAATGTAAAGAGTCACATAATTTAAGTTTAAGCATAAAAAAAGTAATACATTTTCATTGTAGAAATTTTGTAAAACTCAAAATATAAAAAAGAAAAAAGTCTTCTGTGTTTTCACCACATTTTTTTGGTGTCTTTCTCAACAAAGTTTTTTTTTTTTCATAGTCATCAATTA